GGTAGAATCAAATTCAGCTGTAGCCTAAACTCTTTAAGAAATAAGTTTTCTCACATAAAAAGCAAAATAATACTTACCTTACAGTTTGCCGATGTTGGTAGAGATAGGAAGATGTCTGGCACACACAGTAGCTCCTGAATAAATTATAATTTGTTTTAAGAGGAAAATGATTCATGAGTTTGAGTGAACACACTGTATTTTTCATCTCTTTCGAAACAGAACAGCTCATTTAATGAGGGACCTTTTCAAAAGTTCTCCCCAAGTATGGGACACAGTCAGTTCAGCGTCCAACTCTTGATTTCAGTTCAGGTCATGATCTCATGGTGGTGAGATTGAGCCTGCGTTGGGCTCCGCGCTGGGTGTGGAGACTGCTTCGGATTCTCTCTAAACAAACAAACAAACAAACTTTTTTTCAAAAGTTCTCCATGTATCTATGTCTTGGAGGATTTAGGATACATTTTTCCATAATACAACCTTAACTTACCAACAGGACTGAATTGCACTAGAAAATCATTAAGCATATTTGGGGCCAGATGAATGTTTGTGAAGATCGTGTTTAATTGTATTTTACCCATTTCAGGTATGCACCTTGGAGCACCTAGGTGGCTCAACGTGTTGAGTGTCCGACCTCGGCTCAGGTCCTGATCTCACGATTCGTGAGTTTAAGCCCTGCATTAGGCTCTGTGCTGACAGTTCGGAGCCTGCAGCCTGCTTTGGATTCTGTGTCTCCCTCTCTCTCTGACCCTCTCCTGCTTACACTCTGTCTCTCTCATTTTCTCTCAAAAATAAAATAAAATATAAAAAAACTCTTTTAAAATCAGGTATAATGTTAACCTTCCTGACCTACAAGCATAGTAACCCCCAATTTTATGAATGAGGAAGTTAGGTTCAGAGAGGTTAAGTAACTTGCCCAAGGCCATGGCTTGTGAGTAGTGGAGCCATGGCTTAAATCCAATCTGTGGTGACCGAAACTACTATTTTCGTTATACAGAATTGCTTTCTATATGACACACAAATACAGCCCTCCAGGATTTACAAGCAACTTCTCCCTCAGAAAACAAAAAATGCATTGATACTGATCTTTTGCTTTTCACTGAAGAATGAGGAAAAAATCAATAATCAATTGCCTATTATTTGCTTATTGGATGCTGGCCACGGTTAACTGCACTAGGTCATATGCTCCAGGAGAAACACCACAGAGACAATGTCTGTAATTTCAGAGAGACGTTTGTCTCATTAGGCAGAGAACTCTGAGACAAATGTACTAGAGGTAGCTTGAGAGCCCAATTCGTGTACTTAATCACTTTAATGATAAACATTTCAGAGCTTTGGTAGATGCCAGGAACTTCCAATGCTTTGCTAGCCTCAGAAAAACCCCACTAGGTGGGAACTACCATTATCACCGCTTTCAGAGGAGGTAGTTGAAACTTACAAAGACAAGTACATTCTCCCTAGTTTATCTGCCTACTATGCGGCTGACTTGGCTTTGAACTCACCAGCACTTCTTTGCTAATATTCCTTTGGCTTAATCAAGCATATGGTTTCCCAAGATGAAACTGCAATGTTAAGTTGAACACAAGGTATAATCATTGAGACATTACACATCGCCTCTCTTGTGTGTAGTTTGCAAAAGTGAAGGCATGTAATATAGTCATGCTGTGACGAAATCAGTACTAAATGCTTGCCCGTGCTAAGAACTGTATATGTATTATTCTCACAGCAAACCCCACGAGATTGGCTATTCTTAGTATTATTACTGTTCCCATGGAGCTTGGGCTTTGCTCAGGTTGTGAGGTTGATTTTAAGCCCATCTATTCCACAGATGTGGCAGGTAAGGCCTCTATGAACCTAGTTTTAGCCAAGGCTTTGAAGCACAAAACTATATTACCACTTAATACGTTTGAAAGAGTTTTGTGATTTTCAGTAGTGAAATGAGCTTTTGTCCTTCCAAAGATTCTTCTACTACACCCTCCCACACAGGCTCACACACATGCACGTGCGCACACACACACACACACACACACACACACACACACTTTGTCCTCTGTGGTGGCTTGGTGTGAGGGCTGGTGTGTAATTATCCATTCAGAACTTGGTATGATTTCCCAGAACAAAACAGAGAGCCTGGACCTGTTTCCATAATGATGGTGGGCATTTATGAGATGCTTCCACCTCTCTCATTAGTAATTCCCAGCAGGTTCCCAGGAAGGATGACTCAGAGAGGCTTCGTAATAAGCTTGGGATGAGGCCCGGTTGGGAAGAATGTTTCTGGGACTGGGAAGTGGTCATTTTGAATTAGCTGCACCTTGTCAAGGATGGATGTCAACCAAGCTTCCAAGAACCAATCTTCTTCTCTCTGCAATCCAGTATACAAATTACTGGGGACTTTCTCCACTGGATATAAGAAGCCAATTTTCCTGAAATAAGAATTTTCTTGCTGGCCACCGTGGCACTAATGACCGCCTGCACTCCCCAGGGTCTGCTTGGAGTTCATAAAGCAGCATAGTGCTAGACTCATATGAAAACTCAGAAAATAAGAAATGATTTCTCTTTCTCCTTGAGTATATCCGCAGAGAGAGAAAGCAAAGAAAAAATAAGGAGGAGGTACATTGCAATATCTGACTCAATAAGAGTTATTTATTGACCATTCACTATGTGCCAAGCACCTTCTAGAAACAAGGTACACAGTGGTAGACTAAATGCATCTTCTATTTGGGACTATTCTTCTCTCCCTTCCCCTAACCCCTTCCCCTCCTCCTCCTCCCCCCTCTCCTCCATGTCCTCCCCCTCCTCCTCCTTCTTCATTTTTTCAACCACCATTAACACATAAAGCCAAACTGCATCACATAGCCCCCCACAAATGGATCCCACCTACCCCGCCTTTGGGTGGTATTCCCACTTAAAGAATACTTCCAATATTCTGAGATGTTCTTGGTTTAAGAAAAGGTGATAAAGATGTCAATGGATGTATATTGTAAGGGCTAGAATTAGAAAATCTGGGTGCTGAATCCCACATGAGCCACATGTGACATTGGGCTTAACTCTGGTTTGATTTATTCATTTATTTTTGGCATTGGGCTGAAATAAATGGGGAATTTTATGTAAACTGTCTAGCTTAAGTGCCTGGTTTATCATAAGCCCTAGAAAGCTTCCATTTGTATGCTATGTAACATAAGATGTATACATTACATGTAGGATATAATCTATAGTATGTGATATATAAAATGTACTATCTAATGTGTGTATATAAATAGATATCTATATAAGTAGATATAAAGATTATATTAACATGCTATAATAGTAGCTATAATAGATTATATTAATAAAATTAAGATAATAATTAACATAATACATTACATTAATAAGGTATTATTAACATTAGCAATCATTAACATCTCAGGACAAATCTAAATGGCAGTGTTCAAGCTCTGTGTGGACCGCAAAAGTTTAGGAGAAACGTAAAAGGTTACAATAAACTCACAAGTAAAGGGTTTGCCAAAGCTCAGTCAAAAAAGGAGCCAGTCACGTGACTGGAAAGCCTGGCGAGGAAACTACTAGCAGGCTGGCGGTAGTTGTTGGGTCACAATGACAGAACACGAATTACTTTAAAACACTCAACAATAATCTCCAACTTCTCTTCCTGAATTAGTAAAAACAAGTTCTACTTCTGGCAGCTGGGATGACTCCAGAAAGTGTGTGTGTGTGTGTGTGTGTGTGTGTGTGTGTGTGTGTGTGTGTGTGTGTCTAGCTTGCTTGGGGTGGACTTTGCAAGGGAGGGTGGGGGTGGTGGGGCCACGCGGCTGGACGCTGCCTGGGGCATCTTGGCACAAGGTAGTCGGTGTCCAAAAAGAGAGGGGGCCGATGGACTGGGGAGAGGCGACCCAGCCTCAAGGGCAAGACACCCTTTTCACCGCGTATTTCAGAACCGCCCAAAAAGGAGGTAACGACAACTATGTTGAGTACTGACTACGGACAAGCCTCTGTCGTGTGCGCTTTACCTACTGTAATTCAAATCTTCCTAAGAACCCCCCAAAATGGAGCCACCAGGGAGGAGACCCCAAACCCAGCGGGCTCTCCTTGCCCAAGCGAAGACCCGAAGGTTGCAAAGCCCTCTCTGGATGCCTTTCACCAAGTCTCAAGCACTGCACCTTGGGAGGGGCAGAGGCCACCCTTCCTCCAGAGAGAGTCCGGCCCAGGCTGGCGACCCCCGGCTCCCGGACCCCGGGGCCCCCCGCAGGCGCCGGCAGCCTCCGCGGGGCCGCAGTCGGAGACCTGGCCCGCCGGGCAGCGCGACTGCGCAGGCGCGGGGCTGCAGCCGCGCGGGCAGGGCAGGGAGGCGCGCGGGGCGCACACCCGGTGAACTCCGGGCGGAGTCGGCCGCGCTCCCGCGCGGGGAGCAGCGTTCCAGCCACCCGAGGCCGCGGCGCCCTCGCTCACCTCGCTGACTCCATCCTATTTCCAACCCCAGCCCTACCTCCCCACCCCCCCACCCCCCGCGGGTCCCGCGTCCCTCCGGGCCGGGCCAGCCTGGGCCCACTCCGCCCGACGCAGCCTGCTCATTGGCCGCCCAGGGCCTGCCCCGTCTCCATAAATACGTGGTCCCTGGGCATGGAGCATCGAGAGCCCCAAGACGAGCCCGCAGCGCCGTGCGGCGTCTCTCCGCCCGCCTGGACACCTCCGCTTCGTGGCTCCGGGCCTGGAAGTCAGCCTCGCGGACCCACATCCCTTCCTCTCCCCTTCCAAGAGACACCCGACCCCCGGAGACACTCCTCCGGCCGACACCCGCGCCCTGAGGCTGGCGCAGCGGGCAGCGCCGAGCATCCTTGCCGCGGTCCTTTCTGCTCCGCGCTCCTCCGCAGCCCCCTCCGCCACACCTGCGGGCCCCCTTCGCCCTCCTCTCCCGGAATCCTCAGGCCCCTAGACCCCGCCCGCGCCTCTTTGGCCAAGTCGTGCTTCCCGGTCCCCGCGCGTTCCCACGCGCCAGGTGTCCCCGCGCTGCCATGAGCTGCCCAATCGGCAAGAACCGCCCCCTTGTCGCCTTCCTCCAGCAGCTGCGCCACCTGGGGCAGCCCCCCAGGCCCGTGACGTCTGCGGTGTGCGCGCCCCCTCGGCCCCGGGAGGTGCCCCTCTGCCCGGCGACGGAACGCGGCGAGGCGCAGGACGCGGCCGCCCTGCCCGGCCCCACCAGCTGGCCGCTGCTGGGCAGCCTGCCGGAGATCCTCTGGAAAGGGGGGCTCAAGAAACAGCACGACACGCTGGTAAATGCCTCGTCGCGCCCCAATTCCCTCTCCCCGCTCTGCCCCGCGCCCCAAACCCTCCGCGAGACGCGCGCGGCCGGGGCGCACGGTGCGCTCCAGAGTCGCGGCAGCGGAGGTGGCCCCGGGACGGAGGAGGCGGGGGGAGGGGGACGGGGGAGGGGGGTGCGCGCTGACCTGGCCGTGACCCCGCCGCAGGCCGAGTACCACCGGAAATACGGCAAGATTTTCCGCATGAAGTTGGGCTCCTTCGACTCGGTGCACCTGGGCTCGCCGTGCCTGCTGGAAGCGCTGTACCGCACGGAGAGCGCGTACCCGCAGCGCCTGGAGATCAAGCCCTGGAAGGCCTATCGCGACTACCGTCGGGAGGGCTACGGGCTGCTGATCCTGTGAGTCCCGGCGAAACTGGGGCGGGGGGGGGGTCTCAGCAGGGCGCCCTTGCTACGCGGCGGGAGCAGGAGAGCCCCCACCAGGCGCGGTCTCCCCAGCTCTTGCCGGGATCGCAACGGGTTGAACAGAACCGAACTGCGTGCGCAGCACCTGCGTTGTCGCCGGCAACGGGGCAGGGCCATGCCTTTCCGTCCAAAAAAGGCCAAAAGTGTTCTACGGATTGCGGGGTTCAGACTTTGGGGCCGGACGAGGCTCCGAAGTCAGCGTGCCGGGCGAACGTATTCCATACAGAATTATCCCTTCCAGTTGTCGGTAATCCCCTCTGAGCTTAAACAGCAGAAATTAGCTTGCTTTGCGTTTGACAGTTACCCTTTTCTGTTCTGGAGGGGAATGGGGGTTATGACCCAGGTCTAGTCAGAAAGCTGAGATGCGCAGGGCTGTCAAGGTTGCACTGTAGATAATAAATGTCATCATGTGGTGAGATTCCTCCGCTTTTTAATTGTTAGCATTTAATAAGTTAGCGCATTTGGGTTTTTTTTTTTAAATCCCTAATAGTTGTATTAAAAAAAACTATTTTACATTTATTAATCATTGAGACAGAGAGAAACAGAGCATGAATGGGGGTGGAGAAGAGAGAGAGGGAGACACAGAATCTGAAACAGGCTCCAGGCTGGGAGCTGTCAGCACAGAGCCTGACACGGGGCTCGAACCCACAAACCGTGAGATCATGACCTGAGCCGAAGTCAGATGCTTAACTGACTGAGCCACCCAGGCGCCCCCCCTAATAGTTGTATTTTGGAGGATAATATAATCACTGTAATTAAAAGCCGTAGCTACCCACGGTGCATCAGAGGGTGTGCCGTCTGCTCTGGGATGAGGGAAAGAAGGCGAATGGTAAGAACAGGCTCTAGCAGCTCCAGGGACCCTCCGACTATCTATTCATTTGGAGGCAATGACCGAATTCTAGGGTTGAGGTGGTTAGTGAATGTGACTTTTTTTTTAAGTTTATTTCTTTATTTTTAGAGAGAAAGAAAGCACAAGCGGTGGTTGGGGAAGAGAGAGAGGGAGAGAATCCCATGCCTGGGATGCCAAGCTCAGACTCATGAACCGTGAGATCATGACCTGAGCGGAAGTCGAGAGCCAGTCGCTTAACCGACTGAGCCACCCAGGCGTCCCCGTGAATGTGACTTTCAACCCAAGTCAATGATTAAGAGAAGACAACGTTGTTCTCAAGCAGATCTGGGTTGCTGGCGAAGGGAATGTTCAGATGCGTTCTCTTCCTGCTGAGAGCTGAGGCACCTGGCCTCCCAGGTCAGCCCCCTGCTAGGGCACCTCAAAAGGTCTGAGCCCAAATTACCTGGACTTCACCTTTGTGGTGTAATCTTAGGCTAAGAGGAGAGGTGCTTTTTCATCCAGTTGTCAAAGCAGCCCCCAATATTCCAATGGCATATTCTCTGGGTAGTTCTGAGCACGAACTCTCAGTGCTCATTGGATTATTTAGTTCACACGATTGTAGCACCGGGGCTGTCTTTGCTGTTCCCTTCTTCTCTTTGCAATGTGCTCTCCATATCATTTTGCTTCTCTCCCAGGGAAGGAGAAGACTGGCAGAGGGTCCAGAGTGCCTTTCAGAAGAAACTAATGAAACCAGTGGAAATTATGAAGCTGGACAACAAAATCAATGAGGTTTGCAGGCTGGGAGCAGCTTTCCTGGGTTTCCTGGGGAGGGAGAGCTTTCTCTGGAACTTGAAGTCATCGCTACAAAGTGCAGGCTATTTGGACAGTTCAGGGGTCTTCTTTTACTCCTCGCTGTCTGCATCCTTCTCCCCCTAAACCTTTATCCCTCCTTCCTTCACTCTTTTGCAAAGTAACATCTCAATGATGGAACGATTACAAGCAGAGACTCTGGTATTCCACAGTCTTGGATGTGAACCTCAGCCCTCCACCTTCTAGCTCCGTAAACTGACTGTACCCTTAACTTCCCTAAGCTTTGCTTTCCCTATAGCTTTGCTATAAACTGGGCATCACAGGATTAAATGAGATAATGCTGATAAAATTCCTAGGTCGTGCCATCTGAGCTGGGTTTTGCGGGATGAGTAGGAGTCTTCAAGCCAGAGCAGGTGTAGAAAAGCATTCAGGCAGAAAGAGTAGCCTGCTGAAAATAGTGAGACAACACCATGTGTTCAGAGAATAGTATGTTCAGTGCAGCAGAGGCGAGGCGTTCTCTGAAATGATGCTGGACAGAGGGCACGTCTTGACAATGTTTTTGTACCATGATAAGGCGTTTAGACATTGTCCTTTAGTTAACGAGGGCCAAAGAGGGAGGGATTTAAGCACACAGTAATCTCCTTACTCCTGTTCACTTTGGGGGTTTATTTTGAACTGAACTTGGACCCAGAGAGGATCACGTAGGTGCAAGACTGCCAACCCAGAAGGTTTCAGGGACCAGGTAATGAATATAAATGTATAAGGAAGGCCCAGCAGGGAGTGTTTGCAAACAGGATAGGGCATGCCCTTTCTAGAAGGGACAGCTGCCCCGCTCCAGCAAATGACTGCCACGTGGGAATGCAGACCTAGGGTCTCCAGATTTTGTCATTATTATTTATTTATTTATTTTTTGCTAAGTAGTGAAAATTCTCTATGTTTATGAGAAATTTCTGGATGTTTTTGAGGGAAACAAACACAAAGTGCTTTTTAATGCAGGAAGCTGATACATTCAAAATGCCCATGGGTGGGCTTTGCAGTCACCCATACCTTGTCTCAGGCCCCAGCACGGCCATTTTCAGCTATGTGGCCAAGGGCCGGCGCCTTAGCCCCGCTTGAAGCCCGTTCTCTTGTCTTTTCTGCAGGAAATGGGAGTTAAGATAGTATTTTCTACCTCACAGGGTTGTTGTGGAGATCAGCTAACATAGCACACTTCAGGCACTGCTTGGTACTGTACAGGCTGTTAAGTGTGAGGCATTAGTCATCAAAACCCTGAATTTGGGGGCGCCTGAGTGGCTCAGTCAGTTAAGCATCCGACTTGGACTCAGGTCATGATCTCACGGTTCGTGAGTTCGAGCCCCGCGTCGAGTTCTCTGCTATCAGCGCAGAGCCCGCTTTGGATCCTCTGTGCCCCTCTGTCTCTGCTCCTCCCCTGCTTGTTCTCTTTCTCAGAAATAAATAAATACTTAAAAAAAAAAACCACCCTGATTTTGGCCCCTGGCATCTAGAGCCTTTACATAACGTGTCCCGGGTCACAGAGCTATTTCGCGAAGGATCTGAGTCTGGAATTTGCAGATTTCTCCGGTTCCAAGTTCAACACGCTTAACACGATACCAAGCAGTAAGGAGATGTTTGCTGGCCCAGATATGGAAGCAGCAAACCTCATAAGGCTTGAGATGTTGTGACAACTTGGTTGATTCCCCCTCCATGGTTTATTCCCCATTCTGATTAGAAGAAATGTGTTTCCTTTTCTTAAATTTAGATCAAGGGCTGAAACCTAAGATTTGGGGTGGTTGCGGGAAAAGCTGAGAAAATAACCCAGGACGAGGTTGTCAGGACAGAAGGTGAGCCCTCCGCAGGAAAATATGTAATTAGTGTTGCTGCAGAATGAATAACATTAGGAGCAGAATATACAAGGTAGCAAACCCGGAAGCCAGCTTACTGAGCTTTTAACCTTTTGTTTTCCTTAAATGACTGAAATGCGTTGTTTGTGGCTTCTTTTCCTTTAAGGTCTTAGCTGATTTTATGGGCAGAATGGATGAGCTCTGTGACGAGAGAGGCCGCATTGGAGACTTATACAGCGAGCTGAACAAATGGTCATTTGAAAGTAAGTTTGTCAGGGCACCTGGGTGGCTCAGGCCGTTAGGCGGCTGACTCTTCATCTCTGCTTAGTCCTTGGTCTCAGGGTTGTGAGTTCTAAGCCCCACATTGGTCTCTGTGCTGGGCGCCAAGCCTACTGAAAAAAACAAAGAAAGTAAGTTGTCTTGACCATCGTGTTCATTTGATTTCCCAAGTGATTTTGAGGCTACAATATGGCTCTGAGGGTAGTTCCTCTAGAATCCCGAACAGTTGCTGACCAATAAGGGCCCCTTGGGCAGCCTTTTGTGCTTTCGGGCACATAAGTGATGCTTGGCACTATAGGTTGCTTATATAGTCATTCAACAAATATTTATTGAGCACCTGCTATGTGCCCGGCATCGTGCTTGGTACTGGAGACACAGCGGCGAACAAAACAGGCAATGACTGTGCTCCCACGGACCTTAAAGGCTGCCAGGGGTGACAACCAACAAGTAAACACACTTTGTTATGTACTTTTTCAAGCGGTAAGGGTGAGGGATAAAGAACCCTAGTGCCTAGAGGAGGCATGTCTGCTTTGGTTAAGGAGACAGTTGAGGTGAGACCTAAAAGAACAAGGCACAGGGCATCTGTGGGAGGATTGTTCCAGAATGTAGAGACAGGCAGGGCAAATTCCCCCGAGGAGGAAGCATGGGCCAGGCGTCTGAGGCTCTGAGGAGGCTGGTGGCAGTGGAGGGGGGAGGGGGGAGGGGAGGAGGAGCTGAGGAGAACCAGAGGCTGTAGGTCTCGGCCAGAACTCGGGCTTTTAGTTCAAGTCTGATGGTGAGCCATGGAGGGGTCCAAACAGAAGCTGGGGATGATCCGTTTCTTCAAGAAACACTCGGGCACCAGCAAGCAGGGTGCTCTCTGGCCCGGGAAGCTGCCCAGGGAAGACGAGGCACGGAAATACTTTTAATAGAGAGGGTAGGCACCTGACCGAGGAAGTTCAAGGCTGCGGGAGAACCCGGGAGGGAGGGCTGCCTCCGCTGAGGTCGGAAATGGCGCCGGGTCAGCTAAGCCCTGGCAGATGAGGAGGAATTCACCACCTGCTGGATGAAGGAGCAAAGAAGGAACAGAAAGGTGTTCAGAATTACAGGAGCATGTCCTGCAGGGGAGGGGCGTGGCGGGGGCAGAAGATGGGAGGAGGGTAGCATCCGACCCCTGTGAACCGGGGATGGGAATCCAGTTTTGGGCACCGGGGTACCTGGAAATGATAGGATATAGAGTGTTGTTGTTTTTTTTTTAACTTTTTAAATGTTTTATTTATTTCTGTGAGAGAGAGAGAGAGAGTACAAGCAGGGGAGGGGAAGGGAGAGAGGGAGACACAGAATCTGAAACAGGCTCCAGGCTCCAAGCTGTCAGCACAGAGCCCGACGCGGGGCTCGAACCCACGAGCCGTGAGATCATGACCTGAGCCAAAGTCAGACGCTTAACCGACTGAGCCACCCAAGCACCCCTGATATAGAGTGTTTTTAGCAAGAGGGTGGCTCAGGCTGCTGCTGAGAAGACTGGAGAGGGCACTCCAGGAAGGAGGCTCTGCTCGTGACCTTCCCCCCTCCCCGCCCCCCATCAGCCCAGCCTCACTTTAAAGCTACAGACCACTCGACTCTATCAGCGCATAAGAAAACCCCATGCAAAGAAGAAACCCACAGAAGGTGTTAAGGGAAAGAGGATCGGAATAAAGTGAAGGAATGATGGCAGGGGAGGGAAGGAAGTGTATGTTTTAGAAACTGTCCACTGGAAATACCCAAATGAAGGAGTATTGAATGCATATCTTTGCAAGTCAAAGAAGATATGACTGGGGGGTTAAGAATTACTGTCTAGCGTGATGAGAAGTCTCGAGGAAGGCAGTCACGGCCGGCACCCACGGAGGTCGCTGGGGACCCTTTCTATCTTTTTGCTCACCCATCCTTATTGGCTTGTTGCAAAATGGTTCCTGCCCCTCCTGGTCTCACCTCTGCAGTCTAGGCCAAAACGAGAAGGGAGGAGGGAAGAGTTAAGTCAGACGTACTTGCCCCTTTTATCCAAGAAAGTGAAAGAGTATTTCCTTTAGGCCTCATTGGCCACACCTGGTGGCTTCCCGGGCTGCTGCAGGAAGCCTGGGAAATCAGGGAACAGGCTTGCCGCGAGAGTCTTAGATCAATCCAGATTTGTTGCCCAAAGACTGATATGTTAACCCCCTGAATAAAATCGGGGTTCTCTTAGGAAAGAAATGGGGGAGCATGAGTATTGGGTAGACCATTAACAATGTCTGCAGCACATGGTATCTACAAAAGCAAGACAATTGCAGGAGAGATTCATTCACGTAAAAATGGATACATTGTCACCGCGGCATTTCTGACCAGGAGGTTCCACGGGGGATGGATCGTTGGGCGTGGAGATAACTTCTGGAAAGTGAGGAATGTATCGTCATGCCCTTCTTCTCAGACTTTATACCTTTCCTCGGTTCTTTGAAAAGACCTCACTTTTATGAAAGACAGACTCGAGCCTTGAGTAGCCAGCTACCTCGTAGACCCCAGTGTTGTCGCGATTGCCTGACTGTTGGTTGTTTTTAAATGACAGGCATCTGCCTTGTTCTCTATGAGAAGAGATTTGGACTCCTGCAGAAGCATGCCAGGGAAGAGGCTTTGAACTTCATCATGGCCATCAAAACAGTAAGCATCGCCTTGAGAACAGTTTTCCTGGCTTACAGAACTTCACACACAAGTGTCACATTTCCCCAGGAGGAGCACATGCATATTTTATCACAAGAATCAAGTGCTAATTTTAAGGGGTTACGTGTTTTCATGGGTGGATGGGCATGGATGGTCATGAACCAGGAAGCACTCTACATTAGGCAAGTTTAAGTAGGTGTTTCCGTTAAAGGTCAGTTGATGGAAATACTATTTCAGAAAGAGTCTGAAATGTTTCAGATGTAAAATTGTTGAATCTTTTAGATCACGGGTGGATGGAGAGGTGCTGTGAAGCTGGTGTAGACATGGCTGAGGTTGGGAAATGATTGGAAATTGAAGTCAATTAGAAAGTGATGGGTTTCCCTTTTCTTTCTTTCATAAAATATTTAGGGCATGAAATCAATTTTTTAAAATGTTCATTTTTGACGAGGGGGGGTGGCACATCCAGTGACAAATTGTCCCAAAGATTATTTTCATTGTGCTACAGGGCCCAGGGGAGGGTTCCACCCCCAGAGTAGGTGGGAGAGGGCTGGGGGTGGGGAGGGCTTTGAGTTCCTGCCTTTATGGAAGCACACGGTGTGGGTTGTGGAGACCACGCCCCTTCCGGTGTGTCGGTCGTCTTTGGGAGAAGGGGAATCCAGAATGAAAAGGCGCTGTGTCCCCCACAGATGATGAGCACGTTTGGGAGGATGATGGTGACCCCAGTGGAGCTGCACAAGAACCTCAATACCAAGGTCTGGCAGGCCCACACGCGGGCCTGGGACACCATCTTCCAATCAGGTAACGGGCCGCTCACACCCGGCAGCCCTGTCTCTGGAGCCGCCCCGAAGTCTGGAATGATCTTCTCAACGGGGTTTGCTCCTCCTGATTCTTACGGGCTTTGCAGACACGAGTTTGAAATTGCCCCGCTGTAGACAAATTGTAAGGCAAAGGCATGTGGTGGCTTTCTGTAGAAGGGGTTGGAGGCCGGAGCTTTGGAGTCAGAGATACGTGGATTCAAACCCCAGCTCTGTCACTGGTGTAGCAAGTTGACCAAATACCCTCTCTTTCGTCCTCTGTAGTCTTGTCTCTCAAATGGGCCAATAATAATAATACCTACCTCAATACAACCGTTTCTAGATCTAATATAGATTCTGTAAGAACATGGCTTCTCAAAATACTCAACGAGTCAGAGATGTTTCTGCTACATTCTGAGGGGAATATTGATGGTATGAGTATTGATACTATGAGTATATTTACCAGTATGTACCAGTAGAAGGTCCCTTATTGTGTCATACCATGGTATATATTTTATACACACACATAAACATATAGTCATTGAATTCTCACCAAAACCCCTATAAGTAGGTCTTCCTATTAGCCCCGAGTGACAGAACTGAGGCACAGAGAACTAACTTTCTCAGGATTACATGCCCAGAGCTCAAACGCTAACTGCTGTACCGCCTATGGCCATTGTTGGTATTGCCAACCTCACCGTTATCACCATTCTGGTGGTGGCCTGCAGAGTAGACTGAAGGGAGAGAGACACATGCATAGAATGTTCTTGACAAACATTAGAACTTTCTACTACTATCGTCAGCATGCATGGGCACTGCCCATGTGTGTGTGTATGTGAGTGTATGTACGTGTGTGTGTACACTGGAAGAGGTTTTCTCCTCCTCTATGGCCCGGATTTGGGAGCCCAGGTCCCTCACTACCTGTATTCATGACCAAATCAGCTAGACATCTGGCTCTGGGTACGAGTTCTGATTCCAAATCTGCATTTGAAGGAGACGCCCAGGTGATTCTTGGGCGCATTAAAGTTTGACCAGCCGTGCGCACGGGGTCGTCAATCAGTCCCTGGCGACTTAACAAGAAGGCAACATTCGCTCATTGGACAGATTGTCAGTGTCCCTGAAAAGGCCCTGTAGATGTCACAGGGAGGAATTCACCTGGGGTTCCCTCATTTCTTTCTAGTCCTAACCTTCACTGTACTTCCTTTCCCTCTTCTCTCCTCCAATAGTCAAATCGTGCATCGACAGCCGGTTAGAGCGCTATTCTGAGCAGCCCAGCACGGATTTCCTTTGTGATATTTATCACCACAGTCAGCTTTCCAGGAAAGAACTGTACGCGGCCGTCACCGAGCTCCAGCTCGCTGCAGTAGAAACGGTAAGGGCTGGATTTTAGTTTACTAAATGGGCTGGAAAATCTTTCTCACGATGAATTTTAAATAGTCATTCAGCTCTCTCATTCCACAAGAATTAACTGAGCGCTAGTTTAGCAAAATGCTGCATGAGACGCGCTGCACAGCCTCGGTCTTTCCACTTGTGATGGGAGGTGAATTCGTGTGCCCCAGAGGGGACAACCTGTGTGCTCTGCGACAGGTGCATAAGCTATCTGGAAATTCAGAAGCAGTAAAATTCCACACTGTAGCGAGATAGGGCATCTAGATTATATTCTTTTTTCTTTCTTTTTATTCTTTGACGATGTAGATTTTTTTAAAAAATTGAATATATTCTTGAAAGTTGTGAAGGTTACCCCAAAGTGCCTGATTGTGGTGGTTACTCTAAAAATATTGGAATACTCTCTACCAGTCCAATATTTTTTTTCTTTTTTCAAAGCTTACTTATTTATTTGCGGGGGGGGGGGCAGAAAGAGGGGGACAGAAGATCCCAAGTAGGCCCCAGGCTGTCAGCGCAGAGCCCGATGTGGGGCTCGAACTCGTGAACTGTGAGATCATTACCTGAGCTGAAATCAAAAGTGGGACACTTAACCAACTGAGCCACCCAGACACCCCTGTTTTTCTGATTAAAAGTTTAAATGTAGTGAGCTAGGGGAAACTTGATTTTGCCTTACATGAAATAGCTAATTCTAAATGCCCAAATTCTGTTCCTGTGTGCTTGGTGGCTCTGGTAGGTTCCCAATCCAGCCAGGCTCCAAGTGCAAATACTGACAGGTGTTCAGGTGAGTTTGATTGTCTTTGATTCATTTTTTTTGAGCTATCGCTGGCGGGATGCATCTTAATATTCCTCATGAGCCGACATTTCATACACCTGTAATCTCTAAGAAGAAAGCATCCCAGTTCAGTTCTTTTCCTGTTTCTTTAGCGTTTCTTACCCACAGAAAAAGTAGGGTTTTCTATATCAGAGGAACAGCAGGTTGTAATTTCTCCTCATGCCCCAGAAGGCTGTTGAAAGGAGGAATTCATTTCCACTCACTTTCATACTGGATCATTTACCCTAAGAAGCTCCTTGGAGGGGTAAATGTAAAGCCTCGCTCATTATCTTCTGTCTTCAGCTGGACTGTGAGCTCCAAGAGCGATGATTTGGTTTCAGACCCTCTGTATTCCCAGGATGGAGAACAGCACTGAGCACATAGTAGGCGCTCATCAAGTACTTGGCGAATAAATGAAAGGAATCAGAAACCAAGTGCCTGCTATGTGCCAGGCGCTGTTCCAGGTGCCTGAAGGAACACCATGAACCAGAGACAAAGGCCTTGGCCTCCATGAAACTTAACTGCTAGCCGGGAGACACGTAAACAAATAAATAAATACGGTCATTTCAAATAGTGGTAGGAGACGTGGGGGAACCATCAGAGTAATGGGCTAGAAGGAGAGGGCAGGGTACCCTCCCTGAGGAAGTGATATGGAGCTAATGGAAATGATGACAGGGAGCCAGCCATGGGAGGATCTGCAGAGAAGAGTCCTCCTGGTACAGGAAATAGCATGTGCAAAGGGCCTGGAGCAGAAAGAGCATTGGAGCTGGAGACTTAGTAAATGTGGTCAAGTTGACTTTGGAGGAGACAAAGGGCTGTGTTAACCAGAAACCTTTGGAAGCCATTTGGGTTTTATTACACCTGTGATAGAAACCTCTTGGGGGCATTATAAGCAGGGGAGTAGCCTGATCGAACTTATGTTTTGGGAAGAGGGCTCTGGCTGGTGGGGTGGAAGGTGCACCCAGCAAAGAAAGAGTGGAAGCAGGGAAACCAGCTCTGCGATGGATTTCCTCCACTGAGGTCAGGCCGGGATAGTTAGTGCCTGTGAGGTTGCCCGGGCCACTCCCCCTCAATTCAGCCCCTGCAGTTACCCAAAAAGGCCCCGGCTGTCTTACAGGGCTTTGGCGAAAGCTGCAGTTTGGAAACTCTATTTGGTACTTGCGGTAAGGGACCCGCTGATATGGTTAAACATTTCTTTTTTAGTCCTGGCAGTTCTGGAAGTCACTTTTGGAAAATCAGAGAAATTTGAACGTGTATCTAATTTGGTGGCTGCGCCCTCTTCCTGTTTTGTAAATTGGACTCTTGTAATAATGCCGTCCACGGTTTATTTGCAGCTGAGGCTGCCGGTCTTTGACATGAAGAAGGCTGCCTTGGACGCACCTTCCTCCCAAAATAGTAAATACCATTGGCACCGAATTGTCTCACACTTCGCCCGTTTATATGAGGGGCACATGGCACTTGGCAAAAGCGTCTTCGTGTCTGCAGTGACCGTTTTTACAGGAATATTTGGCTTATGTTAACTAAAAAAAAATAAGGACCTAAAAACAAATACATATGACTACCAGGGGTGAAGATCATGAAGCCGAAAGCCATGCTGGCTGTTTCTGCCAATATCTTTTCTTGTTGCCTTTGGAAAGGGAGTAAAACACGCCACTTGAAAGACCAAGAGCCTTTGTCAGAAGCTGTGGCTGGTTCCTTGATATACTCAACTTGACGCTAGAATTTCGTATTTTGGTACTGGCCCCCTCCTGCAAGGGTTCTTTGCCTGTGGCTAAAACTGTGGGCTTCACAGATTCAATTCCAGTAATGCATTTTTTTCGCATGCGTTTGCACTGTAAAATCAAAAAGAAAAAAAAACTCACTAGTAAAGCCGCTAGGATCTCCACCCCTCTCATGCCACTGAAGTTTTCTCTCCATTCTCTGTTTTAAACAATGTTTAATTAAATGCTCTCCTTATTTTGAGATAATTATAGATTCACATGCAGTTATTTCTTTAATATTATTTATTTTATTTTGGGGAGAACACAGGTGGGGGAGGGGCACGGCGGGGTGGGCAGAGGATCTGAGGTAGACTATGCACTGAGGCTCACAGCAGTGAGCCCAACATGGGGCTCGAACTCACAAGACCTGAGCCAAAGTCGGAGGCTCAGTGGACTGAGCCACCCAGGTGCCCCTCACAAACAGTTCTTAGAAAAAATAGAGAGGAATCCCTTGGACCCTTGACTTGATTTTTCCCAGTGGTAACATCTTGCAACAATAAAACCTTATAGCAACCTGGATATTGACGTGGACGAAATTGACAGGGATACACTCCTACCAGCCTGCTTTCATTTCACAGATTCTAGAGACTTTCATTTGTGTTCAAACAATTTTTGTATCAAACTGTATTTTAAGTGTCCTAATGCAGCCGATTATTTAAGGAGTCTATGTTGATTCCCCCAGTAACTAAGCTATCCTTAATTGGCATAGCTTATAAAATAAATCTGTCTTTTCATATACTGGATTTGTCTAATGCATAGCAGATAAGGACACGAATTCATTTGCAGGGCAAGGTGGTCAGTAGATAGCAGCTTGTGTTCAGCTCATAACGGTTTTAAGGCAGTTTATCTGCAGAAACTCAAGTTTATGTCCCTTTGGCTTTCAGACAGCAAACAGCTTAATGTGGATTCTCTACAATTTATCCCGTAATCCCCACGTGCAACAAAAGCTTCTTAAGGAAATTCAGAGTGTATTGCCTGAGAATCAGATGCCACGGGCAGAGGATTTGAGGAATATGCCATATTTAAAAGCCTGCCTGAAAGAGTCCATGAGGTGAGAACACATGCAGAAGCCAACATGAATATTCTAGAAAGCTGTTCTCTTAAACACATGATCAGAGGTCTCCACATCCACAGACAGCACCCATTGTTGATTCAGAAACAATTATCAGGGGTGCCTGGGTGGCTCAGTCGGTTAGGCATCCGACTTCAGCTCAGGTCATGATCTCACGATTCGTGGGTTCGAGCCCTGCGTCGGGCTTTGTGCTGACAGCTAGCTCAGAGCCTGGACACTGCTTCAGATCCTGTGTGTGTGTCTCTCTCTGACCCTCCCCTGTTCTCTCTCTCTCTGTCTCTCTCTCAGAAATAAATAAAACATTTAAAAAATTTTATATACTTATATAAAAAAGAAAAAAGCAACAATTATCAAACTGCGAAAAACATTAAAAAGATCCTTAGGACCATATTCTCTTTCTATTACTCATTTCCTAAATCATTTGAGCAAATTCTACTAAAACTTGGGAAAGTCAGTGTCCTCCCCTTTAAACTGGTAATAATAGTCTAATGAATGCTATAAGCACTAATTAAGATCAGGGGCATAATTGAAGGAAATGAAAAGAAGTTCAGCAAGGGAATCATGTTATTATTGGATAAGACAAAGAGACATCTTTGTTTTTGTAGCCTCTGGTGTACAATGTTCTTTGAACAGTATTGCTCACCCTTTCTGAAAAACAAAACTCACAACATGTCAGCATTAGAAAGAAAGAACTTTCACTTCTGAAAGGGCAGATAGGGGAACTCTAGAACAAAGTCAAGCTTAAAAAACACATTTGAAGTCTAGAATGAAACAGAAACCCACTACTGACAGCAACTAAGCAGGTACTGGGGAGTTAACCAACACGATAAGATAAAGGGTACAAACAGGAGGTATAAATATCAGGAAGAAAGAGACAGAACTTCTTTACGCGAGTTGTGATCACGCTCCCGTTTTGAGTACGAACTCCTGCGGGAATTATTGATTTAACCAGAATCTGCATTCACATGGTCGCTGAATCTAGAAACTGGTCTGTGCTCACTCACCTTTACATCTTTAATTTTGTTTTTTCAGGCTTACCCCAAGTGTACCATTTACAACCCGAACTCTTGACAAAGCTACGGTTCTGGGTGAATATGCTTTACCCAAAGGAGTAAGTAGGATTTGCGTGGTCTGCACCTTAGAGAGCTTTGAAAGCTGCACTTTCCGAATATTCATCAGACCTCCATAACCCGCTTTCCTGGAAGAGCATTCATTTTGGAAGTGTGTATATTTTAGTATGTGGTTGACATGTTGCATTGTATGGTGCTGAGATTAACAGTTTGGGGAACAAAGAGACCTAGATTCAAGCATCACCTTGAATGAGTTACAGAACCTCTGTGAGCCTCAGCTCTCTCATCTGTAAAATAGGGATAATAACGAAATTACCACATGGGGTTGGTGAGAATGTGATGCAACGTTTTAAAGTTCTTTACCTGTTTATCACCTGGTACATTTCTAGTACTTTATAAACATGGGCTGGCAATCACTCTGTTATAAACGTGTGGGTTGCTTTTACATTCGTAAGGTGATCACTTTTGTTAATTTTGCCATTCAGATGTTTCCTTCTCGTGATTTTTAAGTGCTTTTGTGTTCCTGTGTGTTCTTAGACAGTGTTGATGCTCAATACCAAGGTGTTGGGGTCCAGTGAAGAAAATTTTGAAGATTCAAGTCAGTTTAGGCCCGAACGGTGGCTTCAGGAGAAGAAGAAGATCAATCCTTTTGCGCATCTTCCATTCGGCGTTGGGAAGAGAATGTGCATCGGTCGCCGGCTAGCTGAGCTCCAGCTCCACCTGGCCCTATGCTGGGTAAAACTCTGATTTCTTTCTTTTTTAATGTTTATTTATTTTTGAGAAGGGGGGTTGGCAGAGAGAGAGGGAGACAGAATCCAAAGGAGGCTTCAGGCTCTGAGCTGTCAGCACAGAGCCCGACACAGGGCTCAAACTCACGAGCCGGGAGATCATGATCTGAACTGAAGTCGGATTCTTAACCGACTGATCCACCCACACTCTGGCCTCTGCAGTTGTGCAGTATTCCACAACACAGGAGAAGGGGGTCATCCTGCCTTTTCTGTGTATGTGTGTTCCAGATCGTTCGCAAATACGACATCGTGGCCACGGACGACGAGCCTGTCGAGATGCTACACCTGGGCATCCTGGTGCCCAGCCGGGAGCTCCCCGTAGCCTTCCACCGGCGGTGAGAGCCTCAGGTGAGCATCCGGGGTGCTGTGAACCCCCAAAGGGTGAGCTGAGCTCAGAGGTTGGCCCTACCTGCTCACAACTGATTGGCTGGGTGACCTTACATAGTTTTCTAACCTTTCTATCAGCTTTTTTTCTTTTTCCATTTTTCAAAGGGGGGGCTAAAATTGTATCTTACTAGAAAGTTGATATGATACCAAATACTCAGCCTGAATCCTAGCATCAACTAAGTGCTCAGTTAAGTCAAGCTGCCATCATGAGCTTTGTGTGTGAAGATCAGGGGTGGACAACCTTTTTCTGTAAAGGCCCAGTTGGCAGGTATTTTAGGCTTTGCAGGCTCTGAGGTCTCTCCTGCGTCCACTTAACTCTCTGCCTCGTAGCTCCAAAACAGCCTCACGCGATCCGTCAACAAGCAGGTGTGGCTGTTGTGTTTGTTTTCTTTTGCTGCTGTGACAAATTACTAAAACAAATTACAAATTGCTAAAGCTTGTGTTAAATAATAAATTTATTAGTTTAACAGATCTATAGGTCAGAAATCCAACCCAGCCCTTACCAGGTCAAACTCAAGGTATTAGCAGGACTATATTCCTTTCTAGAGGCTCCAGGGGGAGAAACTATTCTTTTGCTAATTTGGGTTGTTGGCAGAATTTAGTTTCTTATGCTGTAGGACTGAGGTCCCTATTTTCCTGCTGGCAGCTGATAGCTACTCCCAGCTTCTAGAGGCCACCTGCATTCCTTGGCTCATGACCTCCTCCTCCATCTCCAGAGCTAACCAGAGAGGGCCGAGTTCCTCTCCAGGCTTCGAATCTCTCCTCCTTCTGTCATTCAGAATAATCTCCCCATCCAGACGCGTCTGGGTGGCTCCGTCGGGTTAAGCATCTGACTTTGGCTCAGGTTATGATCTCTCAGTTCATAGGTTCAAGGCCCATGTGGGGTTCTGTGCTGACAGCTCAGAGCCTGGAGCCTGCTTCAGATCCTGTGTCTCCCTCTCTTATCTTCACCTCCCCTGCTCACACTCTGTGTCTCTCTGTTTCTCAAACATGAATAAACATTAAAAAATAAAATAAAATAAAATAATCTTCCCACCTCGAGGTCCACACATGTAATCACATCTGCAAAGTTTCTTTAGCCATGCATTCACAGCTTCCGGAAATTAGAGCATAGACATTTTCTGAAGGCCATTATTCTGCCTACTAAGACTGTTCCAATAAAACTTTATTTATAAATACAGGTATACTTATTTGACCACAGGGCTTTGGTTTCCAGACCCCTGGAATGTAAGTGCATACATTTACTACCCTGCATTAAATACAACGTAACACATTTTCTGTAGTGTTCCATTCACTACCTATTCCGACTGTATAGTGTTCTCTTACCACCTTCACAACTGTGCCCATATCCATGTACCTACTACCATTTATGTAATTACTACTGAATTGTTTCCTTTAAATTAACACAGGCCTAATAGTACACTTTAGCCTTATTTCCCAGGCAATAATTTCCTTGATGAAATGATAAATGTTTCAGTTTCTGTTATTTTCCCTAATACACAATACAGTGAATTTTTAACTGTTGAGGTGATAAAAACTTAGCTTGAAAAATCTCTACTCTCATCTTCTGGGGAAGGGGGACATTTCCAAAATAAGGCTTTCTCACATTACATGCCACAATTCAGTCTCAACCATTGCGGCAAATAAGCATTTGCAGATGAAATTTTCCCCCGAGTGTCTGACGCGAGGCACTTGTCAAATACTGAGCATCCCAACAGAATTGAATCAAGTAGGATAATGAAGGAATTTTAGTTTCGTTTCAAAACTCCAAGCCTTCAGCAAGGACCGCACACACACTAACCACACCTTTGACCTGAGCCCCTGGCATTTTTGGTGTTCGCACTTTTTTTTTTCTCTAATAATTCCTCATGTTTAATATAATTCTTTAATGTCTATTTGGGGTTTACTTTATTTTCCAGATTTTTTTTTTTTTTTGCCATGACCAAGAGCAGCAATTTTTACCCTCCTGCAAGAATGGTCCTTATGGCTTCAACATTACCGGAAAACAAACTGCAAAAACTAGCGCCTGAAGCAGCACATAAACAACAGTTGGGTCCAGGTGTTTACACTCAATCTTCGATACAATTGTTCCGGAAGCTGTGCTCTCTGTATAGATGATGGCATTTAATAAGACTGCATCTGACTCAGGAAAGCAGACTGAGCGTTGGGGTACAGGACACTCTACAGCGGACATTGCTGGCTTACACTGAACAGGCGAAAGCCACGTCTTCGCTTACAGAACTGCTCGTGATCTCGTTTTCTCTTGCATCTTAACTATGACGTGACAGGGCATTTGTCAGTCAGTCTGGTAAATGTCACTGTATGTTTCTGTCCCCACCCTTCCAAATTCACCCTGCTTGGCTCTTTACTTCTCAAGTGTAAGTTGACATTTCACAACTAAAGCTAAAATTGTCTGGGGCTTGGGGTTAATCATGACCATCCATTTATTGTAACTCTGCTTAATGTGATTTTGGGGGAAATATTTGTTTATCACATCAGCAAAAGGGAATGTTAAAGTTATCGGGTTTTTATGAAACTGCATTTTTCTTGTTTTGAAATTGCAGCATTATCGGGGAATTAGAGAAGGACTGCATTTTCAGAAGTACTTTGATGGAGTCAGAGCCTCTTATCTAGATGCCTTCATGATTTACCATGGCTTCATTTTGGCAAAGGATTCTGAAATTCTTTATTTAAGTAATGGATTTCTTCTCTGGCATTAAGAAGTGAATCAGCAGTTTTTAAAGTGTGTGTATGTGCATATATTGTAATGGAGATTTGCTTAAGGCATTTTACAACATATATATGGTATTTGGTTTAGGGCGGTGTTTTCTAAAGTCCAGTCACAGTCTAAAAATATTCAGTGACTTATCATGCCTTAATTTTCCCCTCTATAGAATGGAACAGTAGTGAAGTGTGTATACATTATAGATTATAAGCCACATTATGTGATTTGAACTCCCTGAGAAAATGCAATTTCATGATGGAAAATGCATAGAGATTTATACAATACTTATAAAACTTTGTGAAAAAATGTGTTTACATATGGTTTATTTTTATATATATTTACTACTATGTTTTCTAAAAACACACTATATATTTCTGCATATTTGATAGGTTTCTCTTTTTAGATTATATTTTTAGGATATTTCAAAAGTATACTTTTTATATGATTCCATTCAAGTGATTATGTGCATATCACTAAAATAGGTGTACACTTTCTCCCTACCGTGAAATTATTTCATAGAATTCTAAATCTGCATATGTCGTCAGATCTCCTCTGTACATCTCCATTGACTCCCTGGAAATCAGAATAAAAGTTTTCTAATATTTAAAAAATGTTTCCTTTTCATTGCATTTGTTGTCTTACTAGGAAATTTTCTCAGTGTGGCCATTTTACAAGCCCCGTATCATGAAATCTACTCTTAGAAACAGCTAGACTTCCATAACAGTTTTACAGAAAGATAATCATTTGAGTGGCAAAGTAGTTTTCCATTGTTTTGCTGCTTTAATATTTTCCATCTCCATTTAGTTCTCTTTTTTTAATGTTTATTTATTTTTGAAAGAGAGAGAGAGAGAAATCACAAGTGAGGGGAGGGAAAGAGTAGAGGGAGACACAGTCTGAAGCAGCTCCAGGCTCTGAACTGTCAGCACAGAGATCGACGCGGGGCTCGAACTCACAAACTGTGAGATCCTGACCTGAGCTTAACTGACCGAGACCCCAAGTGCCCCAAGTCCATTTAGCTCTATGTAACCACCACCTCCCTCCCAGCTGATCTGCAGTCTGCTCTGTGTACACCGGCTACACTGGCCTTCTCAAATCCCAAACCCGGTTTTGTCTCATACCTGCTTCTGTGGTGTTCCATTGTTTTTAAGAACGGATCCAATTTCTTGAGCCAGATGTCAGTGTCCTGGCAAACCTGGCCTCTCTGAACCACAGGCCCCAGCCCACGTCGCCCACACCCAGATGCCTCTGGACCCTCCACACTGGCTTCTGCCAGTTTCTTTGATTCCTTCAACACTACCGGCCTACAGGGTTTTGCACCTGTGGTCCCTCCTCCCACCATCTTCCTCCTGGCACATCCTTTCTTCACCTGCTCTTCTACGCACCACCAGTCAGCGATCAGCTCAAGCTTCCTAGAGGAAGTCTTCCGTGATGACCCAGAGACCCCAGAGGCTGTATGCTGGCATCGGGATGCATTAAGGAAGTGATTCCAGAAGAGACTGGGAGGGACCGAGGGTAAGCACGGTAAGAAAAGGAGCCAAAGGCCATGCAGCTTGAGGAATGTTCCAGCTTCCTGATCCCCTGGGGAGCCCTGGGCCTGTAGCTTGCAGCATGGCTGGTTTGATCTGTGGCAACAACTCCCAGGCTGCACCTGGGGGATGTACTCGCTGGCTCTTAGCGGTGTCCACACAGGCCACAGAAGCCCAGATTCATCCTGTTGATAAGATTCATGCCAAATCATAAGACCTCTTGGTCGGTGTGGAGTATGGTGCTTGTCACAGGGCAAATGAAACCCGGATCTGTTACGATTGTCACACGAATCCATGCCATTCCGTGCCTGTTCTGTCTCCCTTAAGGCCAACTCAATGCATCAGCTTGAGCAAAAGTCTAGAGGATGTTTCTAAGAAACCAGCTCATGATGATACATGGAGAAGACAGCCAACTCACTTTGTGGTGTCCAGATAATTTTTTGAGAGGGCAAGAGGGAAGAAAAGAGAGAAGGCAAAGACAGGGAGGGAGGGAGGAGAGAACTGAGAGATCAAGGGACTTCCTCGACGTTTGTGGCGAAGATTCCGCACGCTGGCACTGCCCGTCTGAAGGGCAGGAGATTATTGATGGAGCAACTACTCACACGCAGGTGGTCGAGCCGAGTTGCATCACATGCACGGGTTTGGCACACGCAAGCTCGACCTCCCGTGTCCCGCGTGGAGGACCGACTGAGAGTAGGAGA